TCTTTACCTGAAAAATAGGAATCACATCACCTTTCCCCTAGATTTGTAGTGAGGGTTCAATACGGTAACGATATGAAACACGGAGCGTAGCACATAGTGGGTAGAAAAGATGGAGTGAGGTTGGGTCCAAGGTGAACCGAAAGGGGTTGGGGACAGTTGCTGAGAACAATTATGGTTTATGACTGGCTCCTAGGTGCTAGACGGAGTTTCTTAGCAGAGGTGACATGGCTAGGGGAAGAATGACAATGCAGTAAAAATGGTTCATTCGTTTATTCATTTTCCACCAATTACTTTATTGAGAATCTACTAAGGGTCAAATGTGGTTTTAGCCACTGGGGATACAGCCCTCACAGATCTTCTAATCCAGAGTGGGAGACACCCAACGAGCCCGGTGCTTTCAATGCAGGAGCTCCTTCACCTGTGAACAAGTTATGTTCTGAAAAGACTGTAGTTTGCAAGTCCAACGGGACGAAGAGGAATTTGTGGTCATATAGTCGCTGGAGGCATTTCCACCAAAAAGAAATGTGAACTGGTTCTACTCTCCAAAGCTTTAAAACCATCCTTCTTTTTTTTTTTTTTTGGCCATGCCACGCTTCTTGCAGGATCTTAGTTCCCTGACCAGGGATTGAACCCCGGCCCACAGCAGTGAAAGCACCGAGTCCTAACCACTGGACCACCAGGGAATTCCCTAAAACCATCCTCCTTGAGGATATTTGTTTTATAGGACATCTTTCCCCAAAGGAGATAGTGTTGTTTGCGGTGGAAATCTGTTGAGCAGTGAGTGACATGAACTCATACATTAGTGACTCTCCATAATTTCTGGAATAACATTGCATTTCTGCAGGAAGAGATAAAAGAGATGGGTGAAGTATAAACCTTAATGTTACGAGTGATTAGCTCTTAAAAGTGAAGCAATTAAATCCTTTTTTTTGACCTTATCTCTATTTCACAATTTACTTTCCTGAAATGAACATGTATTGCTTTTGTAATTTAGACCAATTTATTGAATCACAAGCCATGGATGACTCTAGTGGTCCAAAGGCTGTTCTGATCTGAACCACATTGGGGAAGAGGTGAGGGTGAGAGTCTTGAGACAGAAGGGCCAGGCCAGGCCATCTTTGAGGAGCTGCGTGGAAAAGTCAGAAGGGCAGAGAGGATTGGAGTGAACAGAAACCATGGGGCAGATAAAACCATGGAGTGGAGGATGAGCTGCTGTCAGGGCGGGTCTGGATTTTGTGGGGTCTTCTTTTAGTTTTTGATTGCTACAGTAATGCCGCAATGGACTGTCCCAAACTCAGTGGCATGCAATAAGTTTGTGAATTGGCAGTTTAATCTGGGTGGTCCTTCTGGCCTCAGGTGGGCTCCCTTGCGCGTCTGGGGGTCAGCTGGCTGTTGGCTAGGGCCGCCTCGCTCCGTTCCACCTGTCTCTCAATCCAGCCACTGGTTAGCCTGGCGTGTTCTCGTGGCAGAAGCAGAAGAGCATGAGAATAAGAGAAAGTGCAGGAGGCCTCCGCAGGCTGGGGTTTGGAAACGGTGCAGCATCACTTCTTCCTTCCTTCCTTCCTTCCTTCCTTCCTTCCTTCCTTCCCTCCTTCCTTCCCTCCCTCCTTCCTTCCTTCCTTCCTTCCTTCCTTCCTTTCTCTCTTTCTCTCTTTCTCTCTTTCTCTCTTTCTCTCTTTCTCTCTTTCTCTCTTTCTTTCTTTCTTTCTTTCTTTCTTATTTTTGGCTGCATTGGGTCTTCATTGCTGCACACGGGCTTTCTCTAGTTGCAGCCAGCGGGGGCTACTCTTCATTGTGCTGTGCGGGCTTCTCATCTCAGTGGCTTCTCTTGTTGCAGAGCAAGGGCTCTAGGTGTGTGGGCTTCAGTAGTTGTGGCTCGTGGGCTCCAGTAGTTGTGGCTCATGGGCTCTGGAGTGTGGCTCAGTAGTTGTGGCGCACAGGCTCAGTTGCTCTGCAGCATGTGGGATCTTCACGGACCAGGGATCGAACCCGTGTCCCCTGCATTGGCAGGTGGATTCTTAACTCTGCACCACCAGGGGAGTCCCAGCGTCACTTTTGCTGCATTTTCTTGGGCAAAGGAGATCCTAAGTCTGGTCCAGACTCGAGTGGAGGGGGGAGAGACTCTGCCTCTTTGGGAGAAGGGCTAGGGAGTCAAAGGGTAGATATCCAGGGTGGGATCATCTATCACAGGCCTGAAGCTTATACAATGTTGGGGGCCCTTTTGAAGAAAAAAAGGATCCCCAAATTATGAACACAAAATTTGATATAGGGGTCTGGTCAAGTGAGGGGTGCTGACACCATCGATTCGTGGCAAATGGACCTCTTCCTCACTGTCACAAAGAAGCGAGAATCTAGCCACCCCAGTGAGAAGAGCTGAGAAGGGGAGCACAGCAGAGCCACTGCCGTGCTGGTGGCAGAGCCCAGAGTGAGGCTCCTTCAGCCCAGGGGTACCTGGCTTCTGGACACCCATCTGCTCTGATCCCAGTGAAGTCTGGCTGTTTCTTGTTGTTCCTCCATAGAGAGGCTTAATTCCTTGGTTTTCTTCAGTTCCACCTGGTTTAGACTTTGGTTTTGTAATTCTCCATTGGGTCTTGGAACAGACATCTCGTGGGCCTTCTATTCCAGAGTGGGAGAGACTCAACAAAACCGGCCCTTTCGATACAGGAGCTCCTCCCACTGAGAACAGATTGGGTTCTGAAATGATTGTAGTTTGTAAGTCCAACATGACCTAGAGAAGTAGCCTGAGCAAGCTACGTGCTCCTTGTCACCAGGAGAACCTGATGGTTGCATCAACACACACACAAAACACACCCACTACATAGGTGCACACACAGCACTAGCATGCACAATGCATTACACACTTGTAACACAACTCCCACACATGGGCCCACATACAAACAGGAACATACCACATGTGCTAATACGTGCACACGCATGTGTGCATACGTACACATATTCACGCACACACCCACAGGTGCCTCGGGGCAGGGGAATCTCAGACGACCCGTCCAATTCCTTCCTTCACAGATGGGGACATTGGAGGCCATTGAAGGTTACTGCTCATGTAGACGTCAATGGCCAAGCCGGGATGCGGGCCTCAAATGGGTCTTTGAGGACACAGGGCCCCCAGAAAAGCCTGATGCTCCCCTAGTGCCCGGAGGCATTTGTTTAGAGGAACAGACCTGCTATCACTTAGAGATGCTCAGAGAATTCTCTTTGCTTTTTTTTTTTTTTTGGTACACAGGCCTCTCACCGCTGTGGCCTCTCCCGTTGCGGAGCACAGGCTCCAGACGCGCATGCTCAGCGGCCATGGCTCACGCCCAGCTGCTCTGCGGCATGTGGGATCTTCCCGGACCGGGGCACGAACCCGTGTCCTCTGAATCGGCGGGCGGACTCCCAACCACTGCGCCACCAGGGAAGCCCAAGAATTCTCTTTTCTTGATTCAAAGGAGAATTTCTCTTCTTGATCCAGAAGGGCCCAGGAGCAGAGGGTCAGGCCACAGGCAGAGTTTTGGGGTAGTTCCGAGGCTGTTTACTCCTACTGCCTGCTCTCAAGAAAGGAAAGACTACCCCACATCCCTCAAAGCACCTGTCCCTTATTTCTCAGGGTGCTCCACATTGCTTAATGCCTTGGTCATTTTCCCTGGAAGCCAAATGGTGTTCCTGTTTGCTGGGGCCCCATGTCTCTTGGCATAGCTGTTCAGTGCCACAGGCCAAGGATGGCTTTGCTGAGCAGCGGGGGCCAAGGGCTGACCGAGCTCTCACCCTGTACTGTTGACCTTATTTTACGGTCTGGAGGTATGTAAAGTGTGAGACAAATTCTGGCCACATCCTGGCTTATTAGCTGCTGTGCTTTTCAGTGCAGGTAACCCTCCTGATGCCTACTCACTCCTGATGAGCCTGTGAGGGCTTCTATCTCTCCTTGGGATTCACTCGCTCCTCGAGATGTCACAAGGTATGTGTGACACACAGCAAAAGTGGCTCTAGGAACAAAATATGAGAAACGTCCCATTCTTTCCTAATTTCTGTGCTTAACCCCAGGTCCTGCTGGGATTCTGATGGGGGGAGGGGTGGGAGATGGGCACAAAATTGTCGAAAAAGAAAGGGAGTCAGACAGGCGAAGCTGGTGCATCCTTTCTTCCCCCTGCAACAGATAGTTATTACAAGGTGTGTGTCAGGGGGTGAGAGGAGCTAGGGGGTAATAGCCAGGAACAATGAGCTGGTTTCTTCAGGAAGGTATAACTGACAAGTTTCTGGAGGATTCAGGCTGGAATCGATATCCACGGATTCTCACGTTGTAAACTGGGGCACAGCAACAAGAGTTCCTGGTATGTTCTCAGGACAGAGGCCCCTCTTGCCCATTGGACCAGTAGTTCCCTGCTCACTTGTCCCTACTCTGTTTTTTAGTTCTCCGACCAGGGATCGAACCCGTGGCCACTGCAGTGGAAGAAGTGCGGAGCCGTAACCACTGGACCCCCAGGGAATACCCGTGTCCCTACTCTTTGAGCCCCTTTCTTTTAGTAGGTAGTCTGGGTTTTTTACCCCCTCACCCCCTCATTCCAATCTCTGGTCTAGATTGGAATCTACAATCTCTTCTCTGACTTTGGCTCAACCCCCCGTGATACAGTGGGACTCCTGACCTTCCAGGCTCCCGAGAATTTGGCTACGCTTGAAATTCCACATTTAGGACATTGTGTGCTCCCCACGACTTCTCCAGTGGGGCTGGTTTTCCCCCATCCCAGTCTTCCCACCAACAGAGAAGGACTGAGTAAGAGCTGCTCAGAACTGGTGGGTCTGCAAACTTCAAGGCCAAGAAGGAGCAAAGTTCTCCTTTTAGAGAACCCATCATGGCTCCGGACAGGGAGGTACTTCTCAAAAGCTTATTTATGATCACTTCTTGAATTGCCAACTGCCTTGAAATTTCACCCATTCCACCTCCTTCCTCTTTGAGTCTCATTCGTCAGTGGGAAGGGCCTGAAGGAGGAAGTACAAGAGAATAAGTGAACGCAGAAGGGCTGGAAGATGAAGCAGACTGCAGTTGGTTCTCGCTGACACGCTCCACCAAGGAGGACCCGTGTGAGGAGAAAATGCACCTGCTGCTGCTGTTCTATCTCCTCTGCCGGCTCGCAGGTGAGCTGGGCCTGGGTCTGTTCTCTCGGGAAAAGCCTATGGGGCAGGAGGAAGTGGCTGGCAGAGGGAGGAGGGAGCCCAGCAAGGTGTCCTGCTGAGAAACCAACCCCCTTTCTAAGTAGTTCCTCCCAGTCGTCAGCCTGTGTGTTTCATCCACTCAATCCCTCACCCTTGTGTTGCGGTGCCCACAACGGCCGATGCAGAAATATGGGGCGTGGTCTTCATGATGAACCTAGAACCAGGCATAACTCCTGACCACCCAGGGGCTGGTCATTCAAAATGGACAGACGGATGGCCCCCACTGGTCACAGAAAAGCAGAGGCACCCTAGCTGCTCAGGAGAACTGGTGAATATTCGATCCTGCACTGTCACCTTCCAGAAAGCTTTATGAGCAAGGGAGGGCTCTCGGGAAGGGGTGAGGGTGAAGGAAGCCTGGAAGGAAGGGAAGCGAGAGTTTGCCAGATGGAGAGGGAGAGGCAGTTCTAGGCTTTTGGGGAAGGAAATAGTAGAATGGAAAGGTCGAGAGGAGGTTAGCTTTGTAGAATGAAGAGGAAAAGGGGACAGGGACGTGAGCAGAGACACAGGGTTGAAGCCAACTTGAGGTTGATGGATACCATTTTTTTTTTGGCCACGCCGTGTGGCATGTGGGATCTTAGTTCCCCAACCAGGGATCGAACCCGCACCCCCTGCATTGGAAGCTTGGAGTCTTAACCACTGGACCGCCAGGGAAGTCCCATGGATACCATTTTGATTAAAAGTCAAGGGTGGGGGGCTTCCCTGGTGGCGCAGTGGTTGAGAGTCCGCCTGCCGATGCAGGGGACGCGGGTTCGTGCCCCGGTCCGGGAAGATCCCACATGCCGCAGAGCGGCTGGGCCCGTGAGCCATGGCCGCTGAGCCTGCGCGTCCGGAGCCTGTGCTCCGCAACGGGAGAGGCCCCAACAGTGAGAGGCCCGCGTACCGCAAAAAAAAAAAAAGAACACAAAAAACTGGTATGCAAATGTTCAGGGCAACATAGTCCATTAATAGCTCAAAAGTGGAAACAGTCTAAATGCACATCAACTGATGGATGGATAAATAAAACGTGGTATACTCATACCATGGCATACTACTCGTCATGAAAAGGAATGAGGTACTGACACTTGCTACAACCTGGATTAAGCTCAGTGAGAGAATCCAGACACAAAAGGCTGGACTTTGTATGAGTCCATTCATATGAAAAGTCTAGAATATGTAAATTCATAGAAACCGAAAGTAGATTAGTGGTTGCCAGGGACTGGGGGAGGGAGGAAGGGGAAGGGACGCCTCATGAGTACGGGGTTTCTCTTTTGAGATGACGACAGTGTTCTGGAATTAGTGATGATGTTTGCACAGCTTTGTGAGTATCTTACAAAACCACTGAGCTGTCCACTTTAAAAGGGTGAATTACATGGTATGTGAATTATATCTCCGTAAGAAAATAATTAAGGAGCAGAGAGAAGAATTAGGAGCAGTCGTGTTCTCCTGAGAAAAGTTTCTGTGGTTGCGTTTGGATCTGAGTCTCCAGGGGGCATGACAACCGGACATCCCTTTGTGACCCATGACTCTTTTACGTGGTCTGATTGGATCGTTCATTCCATCAGGCATAGAAATGAAAATGATGCTTCCAAGCAGTGACACGTGCTGTGAACAGAGCTGAGCTAGATGCCCTGACTCAGGGGGTGGTGGCTGTGCTTTCGATAGGGTGGGCTTAGAAGGAGCCCTCTGAGGAGGCGCTTTCCAAGCTGAGACCTGGGAGACGAGAAGGAATGGGCACTTCAGATCAGGGACGCCTTTTCAGGCACCGGGCACAGCAAGGCTCTGATGTGGAAATGAGCTTGGCCGTGGTACGTTTGAGGAACAGAAAAGCCTTGTGGCTTCCTTACACACTTCACAACAGCCTGCTGGGGCCGGTTGGGAGGATACTATTATCTCTGGGGAAAAGGTCTCTGGGGAGGAGAGAGATGTGTGGCTCTCCTCCTGCCGGTGGCTGCGGGTGGCTTGTGGGTGCTTAGCCTTGAGTTTCGGTGTAGAAACAGAGAAGATAGATTTGGGGTGAGAAGTCAGGGGACAGATTGACAAGCAAAGCAGGGAATGCACGTAAAGGATTGCTTTTTTTCCCTGACGTCTGGGAACAGGGGAACTTGACGGTGAGCAGATGTGAGAGTAGTGTGCGTGTGTGTGTGTGTGCGCGTGCGCACGCGTGTGTATATGGTTTAGGAGTGATTGAGGCAGAGCGGGAATATCTGTCTGAAGTGGGACAGGCTCAGCTGTGCACTAACAGGAAGCCAGTCTCAAGTGGGAACCTCTGTGCCACCTGTCACCAGCCTTTCCCATAGAACTTCCGATTGCAAGTAACACACTTAACCAGCACTACTTCCCTCTTTGCAAGGGTTCATTGTTTTAAAAGTACACGAGAAGATACCCCAGAAAGTTCCCACCGGGCTTTATAGCATTCATTTTCTATGAGAAGAGTCTCAATGACGCTATTTTTTTCAGAGAAAAATGAGCTGTCTTGTCCAACTTAAGCCTCACCGTAAGTGGTGGCAGAGGTGGACAAGACCCCAGACGTGCTGACCCAGAGTGGAAATTAGCTGATGTCCCCTGCTGAGCCGGAGATGGGGTCCAGTCTCAACTGTCACTCCCTGACCGTGAGCCGCTCACCTCCCCCTGGGGCTTAGCTTCCACCTGATCTAGGATTATTCCTGATCATCTAGGCTGCGAGTAACCATGCCCAGGGAGGATGCTGCTTCTTGGAGCTCCAGGCTGCCTCTGTGCCAGGAGGGTTCCCACAGCACAGGTTGCTGGGGAGTGGGGACCTGGAAGAGGGGTCCGAGAAGTGAGTGGAGCAGATGGTCCAAGGGTCAGAGCTGATACTAAATGCTCAGTCGAGTTCAAGGGTCAGATCCGCTACTAAATGACAACTAAAGATGGAATGGCCATCCGCGTTAGAATCCTAGGGTTGCTGGGACAAATGACCACAATCTTAGTGGCTTAGAACAGCACAAATTTATAATGTTACAGTCTAGAGATATTAAGTCTAAAATGAGTCAACAGGGCAGCGCTCCTTCTGGTGGCTCTAGGAGGAAAATTTGATTCCTCGACTTCCAGAGGCTTTCCAGAGGCTGCCTGCCACACCCTGTGGCGTGCGGAACTTCCCCGACCACCAGGGGTCAAACCTGTGGCCCCTGAAGTGGAAGTGCGGAGTCTTAACCACTGGACCGCCAGGGAAGTCCAGAGGCTGCCTGCTTTCCTTGGCGTGTGGTCCCACATCACTTCAGCCCCCGCTCCATTGTCATCACTCCTTCCCTGACTCAGACCCTCCCGCCTCCCTCGGTTAAGGACCTTTCTGATTATATTGGGCCACCGGGATAATCCAGGATAATCTGTCCATCTCAACATCCCTAATTTAATGACATCTGCAAAGTCCCTTTTTGCCATGTAAGGGTGAACATATTCACAGATTCTGGGGGTTAGGACACAGACATCCTTGGGGGCCATTGCTCTGCCTACCACACTATTAAACAGCCCTGTCCAGGCATTTGTTTTTCCTATGATTTTGAAAGTAGTAAATGCTCATTGTTGACACTTGGGAAAGTACAGGAAAAAAATGAAGAATTAGGAAAAATCAAAAAACCTTATGTCTGGGGCTTCCCTGGTGGCGCAGTGGTTGAGAATCTGCCTGCCAATGAAGGGGACACGGGTTCGAGCCCTGGTCTGGGAAGATCCCACATGCCACGGAGCAGCTAGGCCCGTGAGCCACAACTACTGAGCCTGCGCGTCTGGAGCCTGTGCTCCACAACAAGAGAGGCCGCGACAGTGAGAGGCCCGCGCACCGCGATGAAGAGTGGCCCCCACTCGCCGCAACTAGAGAAAGCCCTCGCACAGAAACGAAGACCCAACACAGCCAAAAATAAATAAATAAAAATCAAAACAAAAACAAAAACAAAAAAACCCCTTATGTCTGTCTTAATGCCCGAGGTGACCAGTTGTTAAGATTTTGGTTTACTTATGTTTAAGCTTTGTTTTCTATGCATATTTTAAAAGTTCATTGGTGTTATACTGCATACGATTTTTTAACACCCTTATTTTCACTTCATATGAGAATTTTCCACATAATTAAAAATATTTCTAAGCATAAGCAGCAGTGTTTGCATTATATTTCATTATATACTTATTTCCCTAATTGGTGGAAGTTAACTTTGTTTCCTTTATTTTTGCTAATTATGTGATGAATCTTTGTGCATACCCTTTTTGTTAGCCTCTTTGATTATTTCCTGAGAACCAAATCCTAGAGGTAGCATTACTGGAGCAAAGGGCATGACTGTGTTTGTTACATATGACTGCCATATGGCTTTCTGTATGGCTGAACCAGCTACATTCCTTCCAGCATATTCTCACAGTGCCTGGACCACCTGGCCCCCGTCAGCAAAAAAGTGAGTCATCAAAACTTGATTGGTTTGTTATGTGAAAAAAGGTGTTGTCTTCCACATTTCTTATTTGCTAGATTATTTAAATGAAACATTTGAATTTTATTAGCCGCTGAATTTCCTCTTTGTGACTTGCCTCTTACCTCTCATCAGTTTTCCAAATGGGGTATTAATGTTTTTCTTCTATACACTCTTAATCGAGAGAAACTCTATTAATCCTTTTCTATGTTGTTTGTTCTAAATATTTCTCTCAGTCTGTTCTTTGCCTTTTCAGTCTTTTTTTATTGGTATGTCCAAGTGCTATATTTGCATGCAGTCAAATTCACTACTAACTCTTTCTAGTTTCCTGTCGTCCATTGATTTCAAGTTTCGAAAGATCTCCCTGTCATCCAGGAATTTTTATAGATTCACTTCTGTTTTCTTTCAGTTTAAAAAATGCTTTGCTATTTTATGCTGACCTCCTTAATCTCTCTATATTTACCTAAATGGAGCACACTGAGAGGTGACAGGATAGGGTTATGCCTTAACCCTTCCCTTCTCTATCGTTTTAGTCTT